ATGTCATGGGGAGTTGATTATCTGGACATTTCCTCTCTGATATATTTATAGTTTTAGTGACCTCTTTTCTTAGTTTTGAAGTATTTCAAAATACATATGAATAGAATATTTTAAAGAACAAAATAGTGGTTATAAGTCTCTTTAAGAAATACTATTCCTTTTTTCATATGTTCATATCCTAATTATGTTGAACTTTTAAGCTGAAGATCATACTCGGCCACTTTTGTAATCAGTTTTGAAATCTGACAGTCATATACAGAAGCCCTTTAAAATGTATATTAACATGCAGCCCTTCAATATTCACTCAACTCCATATTAATCATTCTTCTCTGAGCTGCTATATAGTATTGATGGTTCATCATACACATCTCTGCCAGCAAGCTTCTATATCCTATTTGCAAAATTAAAATTTCATTTTCATGGATTAAAAAAGATTATAAAAGGGGATAAAATGGGTGTCTCCTGAGACCTAAGTAATTTGATGGTGCCACATGACCCATATTTTACTGATACCCCCAAGCCTTCCATCAGCGCAGGTCTCACTCCCTCCTTTGTGCACCCAATGTACAGTATAAATTCGACAAATGTTGAATGAATACACAAAAGAACGCATCATATATAAACCAGGGTTTTTAGTTAACTTTATCCCATGTTGTTTACTCCATTTAAGATTATAAACTTCTTGAAAATCAGGATCATATCTTTTATGCCTTTATACCCCTCCTTTTTGCCTCCTAATACAATACTGAGAATATAGGAAGTGCTCAATAAATACTAATTGAATTGAATCAATAGTTTTGAAATAACATACACCTTTATCAATTATTAACCTTAAATATTAACTGGTAATATTTCTATTTTAAAACTACTTCATTAAAGAAAAAATTTAAGGAAACAGTTAAAGAACAATTTAGCAATATTTCAACCACCCAAAAACAACCAACATTTTGGTTTTTATTCATTTTTTTCTATTCCTAGGTTCTTGGTTTAAAAAATAATTGTACTCATTGTGCATAAAATTTTGTCCTGCTGTTTTTCACTATTATATTTAATAATCATTTTCTGTGTTGTTGTGATGAGTTTTGATTTTTAACACTGTCTAACGGTGCATCCAAAGGATAGCTCCAGCCTCTAAGACAGTGTGATGGTTAATTTTTTGTGTCAACTTGACTGGGATAAAGGGTGCCCAGATTACACATTATTTCTGGGTGAGAGTGATTCCGGATGAGATTAGCACTTGAATCAGTGGATTTAGTAAAGCAGATTGCTCTCCCCAGTGCAGGTGGGCATCATCCAATCTGTTGAGGGCCTGGATAGAACAAAAAGGCTGAGGGAGGAGGAATTCACCCCTTTGCTCTCCACCTGGCTGCTTGAGCTCAGACGTCTGTCTTCTCCTGCCCTGGACTGGGATTTACCCCATCCACTCAGCGGGTCCTCAGGCCTTCGGACTCAGATTGGATTTATACCACACTGGCTTCCCTGGGTCTCCAGCTTTCAGACGGTAGATCGTGGAACTTCTTAGTCTCCATAATCATGTGAGCCAATTCTTCATATTAAACCCCTTCCTATATATACATCTGATTAATTCTGTTTCTCTGGAGAACCCTGACTAATCCAGACAGTGCCTGCCACATACTGGGCATTCAATAAATTAATAAATGAATGACCAATATTAAGAATTATGTTTTAAAAATATTTACTATTTTTATAGGTGAGAAATGGAAACTTATTTGATGTTTGAAACTTGCATTACTTTACTATTGAGGATGAATTTTTTTATGTGTTTATTGATCAACTGCATTTTCTCTTTTGTGAATTTTTTTCACACTTTTTGTCCATTTGTCTATTGGACCCTTGATTTTAAAGAACTCATTACAATTGCAACTTATTAATAAAATTTTGTGATTTTTGTTCCTAAAATAGATGTCATCAAATTAAGGAAAAAACTGGCAAAATAAAAGCAAATCTTTGTAATCACAGAAAGAAAAGTACAAGCAGGAATAAATGTTAGTTCAAATATTGGATGATGCCATCTAGTGGAAAATTGATTTTGACTTCTCTCTCTGGATCAGAGATTCCCAAATTTCAATGTCCCCAAATTTGGTATTTATGGGACTTTATTAAAATATATATTCTAGCCTTTTCTTTGCCTGGAGATTTCTACCTCAATGTTTAGGATAGCCCAAGAGTTGTGTTTCAATATTATCCACATTGAAAACTATAAAAATTCTACGTCAGTTAAAATTAAGGTGCCCAGTGGTATATTACACTTTCCTTTTTCATCGGCATTTTCACCACAATAAGTAATTTTGCTGCGAACATTCTTTAAATGTGAGGTCTATGCCAGCCCCTATGCTAACTGCTTTACTTATATAATTTTATTTAATCCTTTCAACAACTCTAATAAGGTAGGTACTATTATTATACTATTTTACAGATGAGAAGATAGAGGCAGAGAGTTTAAGTAACTTCCCCAAAGTCACACAACTATTCAGTACCTGAGCCCAGAGCCCAGCATGTTATTACATGTGTGCACAGGGCACTGTGATGGGAAAGATCACAGTCATGCCAGTAGTAAGAAAGGACTAATGATTTCACAATTCTATACTATCACCTACATTCAGCTTAGTATACTACATGCAGAAACGAGTTATATTCCTGAATTACTGAGGGTTGTTTAGGGATATTTTGCTTTGACATTTTGCAACTTAATATTTACATGGTTTGGACTAATACAACACACACTCAGATGTTCCTTAAATATTGGTTGCTGATTTTTGGTGTTATAAATTTGAAGATGTTTTCAATACTTTGCTGTTACTCTCCATTTTCCCCCAATACTAATATAAATTAAAGTAAACTGATCTGCTTCAAACCTTCTATGTTGAGGCAAACTGAAACTAATGAATTTATAACTGGTTAGAAAACCCAGTTGATAGCGATCTGTCAGCCAGGTGAGGTGAGCAGAGGCTAATGAAGCTGTTCTTAAGCATGAGTGCCTGTGCCTATCCCACAGGGGCCAAGGCCTTAGGCCTGCCCAGCCTGGCCTGGGCCCACTCAGTGCTGGCAGAAGTCAAGCTCTGCCTCCCCATACCTCACTGAAGCATACCTTTCCTGTAGATCACTCCCTCCCTACGGCCCAAAGTATCAACTAACTACAACTGAAAAATTAATTCCTTCACTGCTCTAGTAGGAAATAAGTGAAGGTAACATAGGAACTTTACAATAGTCCGTCTTGAGGCTATATCTCTGACACAGCCCTATGCTGAAATCTTTCGGGCATTAGTGAAGAAAGAGCAGCAAATAATGTAGTGGATTTTTTTTTCTTTTTTTTCGCTGAGGAAGATTCACCTTGAGCTAACATCTGTTGCCAATCTTCCTCTATTTTGTATGTGAGCCACTGTCACAACATGGCCACTGGTGGAGAAGTAGTGTAAGTCTGTGCCCAGAAATGAACCTGGGCCTCCCAAGCAGAGCACATGGAACTCAACCACTAGCCCACCAGGGGTGGCCCTGGATTCTTTTTTAATAAAGTGAACAAACAATACAAAAATTTCTCAATTTATTTTCACATTGCTGAGTGGAAGAGAAATTTGAAAATATAATCCTATATTTGTATCTGTATATCCCTCACTTCCATCCCTACCTCCCAGGAGCTCAAAGTGTGAAATGATAAAACCCAATGATGCAAAAAAGTTTCAAGTCAATATTCAGTGAAACAAAGGGGAAAAAAATGATGACTAACAAAGAACCTTCTAGTACATTGAACTGGGAAGAATAGAGGAAATAAAAAAAACAGTAGATAATATTAATTGAACATTAATTTGTCCCAGGCACTTTTCTAAAAGCTCTTTGCATATGCATTATCACATTTTGATCCCCACAATGGGCTTTCACGAGGTAGGTACAATTATTAATCTTATTATACAGATAAGGAAACTGGGTAGTTAAGTCGTTTGCTGGAGTTCTACAGGTAGTAAACTATGGACCTGGAACCCAGCGGTCAGGCAGGCCCTACAGCCCAAGCCCTTATCTACTACATGATAAGAGATCAAACCGGAATCACTTGCTTGGAGAGTCAGAGGCAAACAAGGGGCGAAAAATCCAGTGAATGGATCACCTATTAAACTAACAGACATCTGCCTGATTACACAGTTATTTAGACTCCTTGCTGTCTCCAAGCTCATTTATAGAAGTAAATTAGTTGTGCTTTTTTTATGCAACTGAACTCACAATAAGTCCCACAGGGTAAGAATCTGGACATCTTGGAGGTTAAGAGACCTAAGCCATTCTTTTCAGGTTCTTACATTTTTTTTTTTTTTTTTTTTTGAGGAAGATCAGCCCTGAGCCAACATCCATGCCAATCCCCCTCTTTTTGCTTAAGGAAGACTAGCCCTGGGCCAACATCTATTGCCAATCCTCCTCCTTTTCTTTTTTTTTTTTTTTCCCTTTTTCTCCCCAAAGCCCCAGTAGATAGTTGTATGTCATAGTTGCACATCCTTCTAGTCGCTGTACGTGGGACGCGGCCTCAGCATGGCCGGAGAAGCTGTGCGTGGGTGCACGCCCAAGGTCCCAACCCAGGCCGCCAGCGCTCTCGGGCCGCCAGCAGCGGAGCGCGTAAGCCCCGGGGGCTGGCCCCCTTACATTTATTTAAAAAAAAAAAAAAAAGCCAAACAAGGGTACAGGAAGTGTGGTATAGTAAAGATTTACATAAAACAAATCAATGCTTTTAACACACCCAAAATGACGGTGCGTTTGAAACCTCATTTTGGAGATAACTACGTCGCTCCAAGTCTAACCCTTGTGTGACTTTGAGGTCCGGCCACTGGCTTACTGGCACCCCTGTGATAGGCCCCGGAGAAAACTCAAGACACCCCGACTTAAGCATTGGTTTTGTTTGTAACTTGTAAACGCGGTGGGACAGCCACCCGAGGCCTCGGGCTGCAGACCGTTGGGACCTAGAGACCCCCGCGAGAGGAGAACCACGCGGGTCAGGAGCGCCCTCGGAACCAAAGCGCTAGGCCCCGCCCGGTCGGGGGCTGCGTTTCCCGAGCACCGAGGGGCGCGGCCTGGCCAGCGGGGCGGGCCGCGCGAGGATCCGCGAGAGCGGCGGGGGCAGGCCGAAGGCGCGGCGGGGCGCGGAGAAGCGCGGGCCGCCAGACCATGCTGAGGGCCTCGTGCGGCTGGCTCGCCTCAGCGCTGCGGGGGACGCGCGCGCCGCCGTCCGCAGTGGTCCGTCGGTGCCTGCGCGCGTCCGGGGCGCGGCAGTCGGCTGACAAGAGCGAGAGGACGGAGGGGACGGAGGAGCCGGCCCGCGGCTTCGACCCGGCGCTGCTGGAGTTCTTGGTGTGCCCGCTCTCCAAGAAGCCGCTCAGGTGGGGCTCGCTGCCCGCGGCTCCTCTCCGCGGCCTTCCGGGGCGGGCCAGGGCGCCGCGCGCCGCCGCCCGTGGGCAGCCTTCAGGCCGGTGCGGCTGTTCCCGCGGCCATCTTCTGGACGCGGGCCGGCCGCTGCTACGCACCTCCCCCGCGGCGGGAAGGCGGCCCGGGCCGGGCGGAACCGAGCCCCCGCCTCCCGAGTCAGGCTGCGACCCGCGGCGGTGGTGGTGGTGGCGGGGGGGTGTCGGAGCTTCCTAGGTCCGCCACTGGCTGCCCTTGAGAACCGCAGGGCGACCTTTTCTGAAATGACGATTCCCGGGCACCACCCCGGGCCGGCCGAGTGGGCGGGTCTGGGGGCGGGGCCTGAGCAAGTAGGTACTTTCTTACAAAGACCCTAAGTGATTCAGATGTGCGGCCAGGTTTATGAGCGATCGGGATTCAGGGCTAATCCAAGACCTTCAGATTTATTATTGATTGATTAATTGATTGATTGCTGAGCAAGATTAGCCGTTACCTAACAGCTGTTGCCAGGCTTTCTCGTTTTTTCCTTGAGGAAGGTTAGCCCTGCGCTAACATCCTTGCCACTCTTCCTCTACTTTTTTTAAGTATGTGGGTCGCTGCCAAAGCGTGGCTGATGAGTGGTGTCCGTTTGCGCCCGGATCTGAACCCACAAACCGGGGTGCTGAGGCGGAGCACCCCAACTACGCCGTGCGGCCTCACCGGATTTTTAAGCCAAGACGATGAAAAATATTGTATTAGCCTCCAGATTCTTGTGAAAATGCCTGACGCTCTTAAGCGTGTAAGCTGTGTGCTGCCCTTTGGCTTTTAGTTCTGGACCGGCTGGTTTTGTACAGGCCCCTTAACCTTTAACCTAGAGTCCTGGGATAGACAGCTCTGCATTTCCCGGCTACTGAAACTGGACGTTGACAACACTAGTATTGCAGATTGAATGTACTAAACACCAAAATGTTATCAGTCTTTATCCTGGGGTGGTAGATTGCTAGTAATTTTTATTTTCATCTTTTTGCATTTCTCTTTCTAGATTTTTCCCGTAATGAACATATTACTCATTCAGTTCTCTTAAACCTTGAAATTGCCATTTGATCCCCCTTTTAGCTAATTGTGTGACTAACTCCGTGCAGGCACGCTGCTTTCCAAAGTTGCCTCATTTCTGCCCTCTCATCTTTCTCAGACTTCTATTTAGTGTATGTTGCTTTTTCAGTGGTTTCCTTCTGATGGATCAGTTAGGTTGCTGTATTAAGCAAACAAGGATGTTGAAGTTTTCTGTAGTGTCTGTTCCAAGTAGGAAATTGACTTAGGTGGTTTTGAGGTTGACCAGAGTAATGAAGGAATATTTGGATGAAAAGGGGAGATCTTTTCTGACTGGTATTGAAAAAAAAAAAGAAAAAATTAAGGCTTAGTTTGAGAATAAAGTGAAACAAATATGAGAGGAACTGACTAAAATGGGAACAATTAGAGGTTCATTTTCTAAGAGAAACGGTTCAATTGGCTGTTACCGCTTTTAGAATTAAAAGTACTTTAATTTTGCTTTTCTGGAATTGAGTGTGTGTCAAGAATTGGATAAATGGTATTGTTTATTGAATATCAAGCTCTTCCAAGCATTTTGTTTTCCACAATGTGTTTTGTTTTTCTTTTTCCCCCTCAGATATGAAGCATCAACAAATGAATTGATTAATGAAGAGTTGGGAATAGCCTATCCAATTATTGATGGGATTCCTAATATGATACCACAGGCAGCTAGGATGACACATCGAAATAAGAAGCAAGAAGAAATGGAGCAGCACTAGATCATAATTAAAAACACCACCACACACACGCCAACTAAATACCCTCCACCTTTTAAAAAGTCAGGGTGGTTGGTACGGGTAATAAGTGGGGGAGAAGAATGTTTCTGTCTCTTCCTACACTGACTGTCCTTGTTCCCCTGGTCTCTTTAGCAGGACTGTTCTACTCGGCCTCTGTGGAAGAAAACTTCCCACAGGGCTGCACTAGTACCACCAGCCTGTGCTTTTACAGTCTGCTCTTGCCCATTACCATACCAGTTTATGTATTCTTCCACCTTTGGACTTGGATGGGTATTAAACTCTTCAGGCATAATTAATGCAGCCAGAGCCAAGATGGGGTATATATATATTAATGTATACTAATGATATGTCTTGAGCATCTGTCAGTGAAAGCTCAACTGCATGGAAATACTGGAAACCCACTTAATTTGCAGGAAAGATGCTTTGCCTTGTGTCAGAGGCTTAGGAACATGGGAGGTTAAGCTGCTGAAGCTTCTTTTATTGTACTTCCGTTCTGCCCTTATTTTTTGAAGGTTCTAATTTATAACTGCTGTATCAGAAGAAATATTTCTACAAAGTGTCTTGTTGGAAATTAACAGCCCCAACCATCATCTGATGACTTTATTTCTTATCCCATTCACTTAAAAGTTAATAATTTGAAATTTTATGTTTGTTTAGATTCAAAATCTTTGGTAAAGTCACATGTTAAGGATGACTGAAATAATTCCAAAGGAGCTATGTTGGAGTTGTTACAGAGAAATGCATTTCAACTAGTATGATATGAAACTGTACAATAAAATGGAAGTTTCTTGTACTTGCAAAAATTCTGAGTTTGTCAAATTACCTTCATTTCTTTGGCATCAAATGCATATGTTAGTAATAATAAGATGTTGATACTTTCCATAAAATAAGTTTGCAGTGCGGTAGTCCTCCCTTATCTGCAGTTTTGCTTTCTGCAGTTTCAGTTACGGGAGGTCAATAGATATCATCTGCTCCTGACATCCAGCTATCAAAGTGGCCCCGTGGCTTAGCGGTTAGGTTCGTGTGCTCCGCTGCTGGCGGCCCGGGTTCGGATCCCGGGCACGTACCGATGTACCGCTTCTCTGGCCATGCTGAGACCGTGTCCCAGGTACGGCAACTAGAAGGATGTGCAGCTATGACATACAACTGTCTGCTGGGGCTTTGGGGGAAAAATAAATAAATAAAAAAAATCAAAGTGGCCATGGCTCAGTGATCCTCCTGACTTACCCTTGGAAGGTCAGTAATAGCCTGATGCTCGGTCACAATGCCTAGGTCACTCACCTCATTCCATCTCATCACCTAGGCACTGTGTCATCTCACATCACAAGAAGAAGGGTGAGTACAGTACAATAAGATATTTTGAGAGAAAGACCACATTCACATAACTTATTACATTATATTTTTATAGTTCTATTTTATTATTACTGTTAATCTCTTATTGTGCCTAGTTTATAAATTAAACTATTACAGGTATGTTATTCATAGGGTTCAGTACTCCCCACAGTTTCAGGCATCCACTGGGGGTCTTGGAACATACCCCCATGGATAAGGGGGGACTACTGTTTTTTTTTGTTGTTGTTGCAAGAGTGTGGTTCTAAAGGAAAGGAAATGTAAAAATTCTAAATTTTAAAATGTAGGCTATGTTTAAAGAGGCACTTAATACCCCAAATAGAATAATTTCCCAGAAAAGTATGTAACTTTGCAGGTAGAGGTGAGGTTGGAAGACTTGCAAATAGCTGGCTGTGTCCTGTTGAGCTTAGAGCTATGATTTGAGCCACATTTCAGTTTATTTTCCTGCCTTGGGAGATTATTTAGCACTACTAAGGGCATGAGCATTTGATGCTTTAATAGTTACTGATTTTCCAGAACTCTGAACAAGACTGTTTGAGAATAGTACAATAACTATTTCAGAGGTATAACATAAATGTTTCAGTAGTTACCTTGTAGAAACCTAAGAATTGAATATAAACTTAATTGATTCTTATTAGAATCTTAAACAGAGGATTTAGACAGTGATTCTTCCCCTTCAAAAGAAAATTAAAACATGATGTTAGAGGTGTTTTATATTGCATTAATTCAATGTATATACTGTAGTATAAATCACATTCTAAAAATTACCCTATGGCAATATACAAATAACCTGGAAGACTATACACGTTTGCATCATTTACTGAAATGGAATTGTTCTTTTTAAAGATTTTATTTATTTATTTTTTCCCCCCAAAGCTGCAGTAGATAGTTGTATGTCATAGCTGCACATGCTTCTAGTTGCTGCATGTGGCACGCGGCCTCAGCATGGCCGGAGAAGCGGTGCGTCGGTGCGCGCCCGGATCCCAACCCCGGGCCGCCAGCAGCGGAGCGCGCACACTTAACCGCTAAGCCACGGGCCAGCCCTGAAATTGTTCTTTTTAATTTACCGTAAGTCTCGCGGTGGTCAGTGTAAATGAAACAGTTTTGCTGATAAAATAAGCATTGTATTCTGAAAAGTCAATTAAAGCTTTTGCAAGCGTTTCATCATTTTAGAGGAAACTGACAAGCATACCCCTGGGGGAGTTCAGTATTAACTCCATCCTCTTACTAATAAAATTTATTTAGCGATCACTTATATATAATGTACAAGCTGTATACTAGGTACAGTTCTAAGCATTATTACACAAAATCTTTAATCTTTTAAAGGGTAGGGTAGGTAATAGCACCATTTTACAAATGAGGAAACTGAAGCACAGAGATTAAGTGATTTACTGAGGGTAATGAAACCAGCAAACACTTAGCCATTGATGGTTAAGCAGCTAGTAACCATGGGGGATTGGAATTGCCCACCTCAAAATATGTCTCTGCCTGAAAGACAGTTTGGCCTCCACCCCTACTAACTGACCAAAAGAGTTTGGGATGGGAGGCCTGCCCCCAGAACAGGCCATCACCATAGATAGCTCCGGGTATCCGGGAGGGTCATTGCTAAACTCAGTCTTAGTTCTGGTTACCCTTTGTAAGAGACATTTACATTTGTAAAGGAAATCTCCATTTGTAAAGGTATCTTCTTCCCTGTACCAGGAAGAAGGGAGGGATGGCCTTACCTAGAAACTTAAACAGAATGGAAGGAGGACTTAAATCTGCATGATAAACTTGCCCATCGTTAATTGTGCTGTTTAGGCAATATGCTATCTGACTCCCAGTAGGTTCCTATAGGTAACATCTCCCTGGAGCTGGGGTTACCATGGTAATGGGTGTTTGAGCTATTTTTTCAGGAATTGGAACCCATTGTCCACTTCAGGCCAGTTGAGACCACCAACCCATCAACTGGGCCCATGCAGACATGTCCGATAAGTGACCTTCTGACATCAAGAGGTTAAAACTCCACCCTCGGGGCATGCTAACGCTGCCATTCTGTGAACGTGCGTCCTGTGAAGAGGCATGAAGCCTGACTACGCTTGCACAGATCATCAATCACCTCATCCCTTCTCACCTCCAATCATTTCAGACCACCTTTCCCGCTACCCCATAAATATCCCTGAGTCCCTATTTTCAGGGAAGTGGATTTGAGATTCATTCTCCCATCTCCTCACTTGGCTGCCTTGTGATTAATAAACCCTTTCTGCTGCAATCTCGTCGTCTAGGTGTTTGGCTTTCTGGGCCGTGGGCAAAAATGGACCTGGTGTGGTAACGGTAACAAGGCAATAACTGGACTAAAGTTGAAACCATCTGGCAATGTGGCTTCAGTCTGCCGCCTTAACCACTATATAGTACTACTTGCTTTTGAGCAAACTCATCCTTTCTATTTACAAGAAAAATAGAATTAGGAATCAAAATGCTTAGATTCAAATTCTTATCAAGCCTTACAGTTTTCCTAAAGCAGCATACATTTTATCTCATTCTAGCACCTAACCTTGTGCTGTAATTGCCTGTTTTGTCTCCTGTCTAGATAGTAAATTGTTCAACATTTTTAATCTAATGCTTAGCACAGAGTAGGCAATAAGCCCTTCCTGAAAGAGTGAATACATGGCTCCGACAAGCCATATAACTTTAGACAAGTTACCTAATATCTCTGACCTTCATCTTTAGGGCTAGAAATCCTTTCCATTCCGTTCATAAAATTTTGAGGAACAAAATTAAACTTTATATGTGAAAGCACTTTGTAAAGAAGCCATACTGACTTCCGGAATGGCAGCAGGAGGAGCTCTGCAGACCAATTCCCCAGTGAAACAACCCTAACTGCTGAAAATTACAAACAAAGCAACCATTTAAAGTCTCTGGAAACTGTCCTAAGGGTATACAGCCAAATGAGGAAACACACAAGAAAATCTAAAAATTGGTAAGTACAGCAGAGTCTGTGGCATCTGAACCACCACCCATGTCTTTCTCCCTCTCAGCTCAGAGTGATGGCAACTCTGGGAGGGCGCAGCCAATGACACAGGGCTCCCTCTTCCCCCAGCTCCTAGCTGAGGGCTATGGTATCTTCCCAGGAGGTGCAGGCCACCAGCAGAGTAAAGGGAATTATGTAATTATGAAAGTGTAAATGCACATTTCATCTTTTTTCTTAACTGATTTGTGGAACAACTGTATAAAATGAAATGTGTACAACTGTATTTTGGGGCCTACATCATATTTGCCAGTAACAGCACAAAGGAAGTGGATGGGAGCGAAGCCGTCCTGGAGTAAGGAAATGACACCAGATGGTACCCTGAATTCACAGGAACAAATCAAGACAACCAGGAAAGGTAAATCAGAAGGTTAACATAACTAATGCTACAAATATATACTTGTTCTTCTCTTGGTTTCTTTAAGAGACATTAAATTCAATAAAGTAATGGGTTTTAACATGTAGATGAAATATGCATGACAATAATAGCAGAGAAGGGGGAGAGGGAATAGAGCTACATAGAAGTAGTTTCGATACCTCACTGGCACTCTTATGAACAGATCTGCAGTTTTAAAAGATTTCTCAGGCCCTCATACACTGTTGGTGAGACTATAAAATGCAGCAGCTTCTTTGGCAAACAGTCAGCAGTCCCTCAAAAAGTTAAACACAGAGTTACCCTATGACCCAGCAATTCCACTCCTAGGCATATACTCAAGGGAAATGAAAACATGTCCACACAAAAACTTGTGCACAAATGTTTATAGCCTCATCATTCATCCTAGGCAAAAAGTGGAAAACAGCCCAAACGTCCATCAGCTGATGAATGGATAAGTAAAATGTAGTATGAATACAATGAAATATTATTTGGCAATATAGGAATGAAGTACTGATACATGCTGCAACATGGGTGAACTTTGAAAACTGTGCTAAGTGAAAGAAGCCAGTTACAAAATATCATAGTTTGATTTCCTTTACATGAAATGACCATAATAGGGAAATGTATACAAACAGAAAGGAGATTAGTGGTTGCATAGGCTGGGGACGAAGGGGAGATTGTGGAGTTAAAGCTAAAGGTACAGTTTTCTCTCTGGGGTGATGAAAATGTTCTAAAATTGATTGTGTCAGTGGTCACATGATTCTGTGAATATACTAAATCCACTGAGTTGTGGATTTTACACTTTACATGGGTGAAATATATGCTGTGTGAATTATATATCAATAAAGCTGTTACCAAAAAAAATAATAAAGCAATATCTAAATGTCCGGCAAAAGGCTCAGTGGTTCCAGGTCACTTGCTGGAGGTCACACAGTTAGAGGCATGGCCAAAAGTGGAATGTAGGTTGTCAGCCTTTCTGAATTTTGTCCACCACATTGTGCTACTTCTGTGACCCTCTCAGATTCAACACCCTCTTGTGGGACTTCTCCACCTGTGTTCTACCATGCCTCTCCCAAGTTCCTCATGAGCAAATCATGCTGGCCTCTCATCTGTTATGGGGACTCTCCTTCTCCAGCTTCCCGTTACGCAGCTCATGCCACGCGCTCCGGGACAGTGACCTCACCACCTCCAGCTGTTGCGCTGTAAACCCACCGTGAGAAACACCGTCTTATTCTTCCACAACTTGGGACTCTTCCTCACTCCTCTTCAATAGTGAGCTGACTGCACAATGACAGGGGACCTCTTGCCTCTTTAGAGCCTCTTAACAAATTATCTTCCTTAGTGTCCTCATCACTGACAAGGATCATCTTTAACCACCTCGTGAACAGGATCCTGCCCACCAGCTTTCTAAGTGAGAAGTTCCCACTCTGAGGGAACAAAAAGGACTCGTCATGACCTACTCTCCCTCTTCGATTTCTCCCAATCCTGCGGAATGGGCTTTTAAGGAAGCCTCTCTGAACTTCAGACTCCACATCTGTAAGATGGAAATGATGGTATCTACTTCTAGACCTGGTGGGAGTTTTGAATGAGGTAGAAAATATGAAATTACCTGCATAGGCAAGAGCCACAGTAGATTCTCACTACTATGTGCAGTTGTGGGGAGAAAGGCCTGTCCCCTTTGCCAAGTTTTTTCCGTTAGTGAAATGCTCCTTTTGGAAGTGATTGCCATCTTGTGCATTTGCCACTAGGTGGCACTTCTGGCTAACTCATGGGGCCACCGGCAACTAAGCACTCAGAGAAACCAGAAAGAGGACTGCGCTTGTGAAATGCTGGGCTAGGGAGCCATAGCTCACCAACATTTACTAAGTCGTCATCATGGCAGCTACTAGATAACCATGACCGCTGGAGTAAATCCCAGGAAACAACTTGGAATAACCCAGACGGAGGGGGACGTGGAATTGGAGAGAGAGGAGGTGAAAAAGGGGGAGGGATGGGGTGGGATGAGGCAAGTGCTCCAAGCAGAAGTAAAAGTGAAAACACAAGAGCCACTGTGGCCCACTCAAGGAACTGAGACAGCTACAAACGACTAGAACGAAGTACACTGTGTACAGGGCAATGGTGGGAAACAAGGCTGGAGCTGTACAGGGGGCACGTCAGGAAGGATTTGTGAGCTGTAATAACAGTTAACAAAATTGGACTTGATTGCCTATCTTCAAATCATTTGATTTGTGAAGCTGATAAACACTATGGCTCTTCTTCCCAGAAAAAGAAAAAAAAAAAAGCGTATGCAAAATTACAGGCAGTTTGTGTTCCAGACCCCTGCAGTGGCAAGTGCTCATACTTGCACTGTCCAGTGCAGTAGCCACCACTCCCATGTAGATATTGAACACTTGAAATGTGGCTAATGTGACTGAGGAACTGAATCTTAAATTTTATTTAATTTTAATTAAATAGCCACATACTGGACAGCACAGCTCTAGACTGTTTTTCCAATTACTACCAATGAAAGTTTTCTGTCTTCAAAATTCTTCAGACTAAACCTTATCTACAGCAGGTAGATACGGCGTCTACCTTAGTGTACAGTGCACATACAAGATTTCCAGCCTCACAGCACATTCTATTGCACAGTGCTGGTCTAGAGACAAGGAGACCAGTTGAGAGGCAATTGCAGTGATGGGACAGGAAATGATGACAGCTTGAACTAAACCACTGGCAGTGGGTTAGAGAGATATTTAGAACTAGAATTGTCAGGACTTGACTGATGTACTGAATGTGGGGGTGACGAAGAGGGGGGAATAGAAGATTAGTGCAGGCTTCTGCCTGGAGATATTGGATATTCCACTCCAAACTGTGGAATACAGGAAAAATGATCATTTTCTTCTTGAAAATGTTGAGATTAAGGAGCCAAGGGGCATGCAGGTAGAGACACAGACTACACAGAAAAATGGCTGTGGTGCAGGAATATATCAGTTACTGCTGGTCAGAGAGAGAGCTCTGGCTATCATCAGCATGGAAGTAATAAGTGAGGCCATGAAGTTGATAAGGAATATGTGTAGTGTGAGAGAAGATGACCACACTGACACTTGAGGTCAGGGGAGTGTAAGAGAAGCATGCAAAGGAAATGGGAAAGAAGCCAAGAAAAAGAAAGCCACAGTCCAGTAGTTCATGACAGTTTTGAGGAGAAAGTTGTCAATGGTTTCAAATGCAACAGATATGATTTAAGACGGAAATGGGCAAGTTTCCATTGAAATTTGCCACAAGGAAGTCATCTGTAACTTTCATTAGAGCAGTCTGAGAGGGAGAAGCACCACTTCAGCCCTGGACGAACTACCCCAACGATGATGAGAGAAAACAAACTTCTGTCTTATTTAATGCACTGTGTTTTGGGGTTGCCTTGTTTTAACAGCCTAATCTGTACCCTAACTAATAGATCTTACTGCAGTAACAGCAATTCTAAAAGAGCAGGTAAACACACTGAATAGTCAGCAAGATTTTATGTTAATTTTTGAGTTCTTAATTTTATTTTTGAAAATATTTCCAAAAAGGGGTAAAGAGTATGAAGTGGGGTCAGCCAAATCCTCTACTGCTGTTGATGGCGACTTGAAGTGCTTCTTCTACCCTTTCCATTGTAGAATATTTAGGGAGGTAGAGGACACTACAACATGTCTGTGCTCTTATGGGATCTTTTTCATTCAAATTTGCAGGACAGCAAAATGTTATTTTCATGTTCTTTAAACCTTTTACTTGAATTCTGTCAGTTCCTGTAAGAAACACTAAAAAAAAAAGAATAAAATTGAGTGATCTGCTTCACAGAGACCAAAATTTATAGAGAGAAAACATGTTTATTTAAAAACATTTATTGAGGGCCCATGTGCAGAGTCCCACATTAGACGACACTGGGGACCATATTAGGACAAAGCCTGACACAGTCACTGCCCTCAAGCAGCTTAGAGTCTGGCTGGGAATGTTAGATTCTCATGCAGAAAAAGACAAACAGCAAGAGAAAAATAAAAGGGCGTAAGACAGCCAAACAAGGGGCCATGGAATTCAGTGCCTCATGAGTGTAAATGCTGCAGTTCAGAGCAGGGAAAGAGAGAGAATCAGGCTGGGATGATGGGAGACTTCCGAGAGTTCGGAATTAAGCTGGATCTTTAAGGAGGGAAAGACTTTGAGAGGCAACAGGAGGTGGGTGAAGGTTCAAGGCAGGACAAGGAGCTTCAGAGAAAGCCTGGAGGTGGGAGGGTGCAAGGTGCACTCAGGAATGTACAGACAAGGAAACTGTTCAGCTGGAAAAAAGATTTCCTCTAAGAGGTAAGACTGGAAAGTTAGCTTGGGCTTCTGGAGAAGTCTGAATATCTTCCAACATACATGTTATCCAAAAATAATAATAAAAAGATAAATGTTTCTCAAAATTAAGAAAATGAGAGACTCATTAAACAAATCTCAGGAAAACCACTGAGTAGGCATGAAACCGAGATCAAAATCTGGAAGGTGAGGTACAACCGCTTGAAGACAGTGACATTATATAACTTGGCTGATCCCTCAGGGCCTGGATAATGGAATGATGACATAACTACAGAAAGAAGACTCAATATTTAGCTTGGATGAAGAAAAGAAAAATTTAAAAGAAATAGACAAGGTTGAGATCACAGGAAAAAAGACGTATATTAACATTTATTTTTTGATGTTGGGACAACCTGGCATAGAGGACATTCCACTGGACTAGGAATGCCTCTTAACGACTATGATTTGTTGCAAATGGCGCCTATAACAAACCAGATTCTCTTATCCCATAAAAAGACATAAGATTATAGATCTACTCCTGATGCAATACTTACCTAGGAATTTTTTCTTTTCCTCTACAGTCAATTTGTGTAAAGCCTTCCAAAACATCACTATGGTGGGATGTGAATTGTCATATCCTTCCACATAAAGTGCATTCTAGAGAAAAACGCAAAAAAAAAAAGAATTCAGGAAATAGAAAAGAAATTTAAATTCAAACCACTTGGTCTTTATGATGTACCTTTTCAAATGTTTCCCAGTCATAATCTGTATTTCCAATAATCACATCCTTGAGTTCTTCAGGATGGAAAAATTCAATAATCTCCTTGTCACAGATTTTGTAAAATCCTCTTTGAAATTCTTCATAAACTGCCTTTATAGAGACGTTGAAGATGTAATTGACACACTTAGAAACATAGTCTCTCCTTTAACGATACAAAAAATGATTTCAGCTTACTGCAATGCCCTGAGCAAAACAGGGGTGAGGCGTGGGGTTAACATACAATAAGAGCTAGAATACATAACAGTTGAGTGCTGACCACGTGCCATGGATTTTTATAGCTAGCGTTCATAGATTAATCTTCATAAAACTCTCTGAGGCAGAATCTTACGACATTTTAGTGAAGGGGAAACCAAGACACAGTAAATTACGTGACTGCTCAAGGTGACGTTAAGAGAACTGACACACATTAGAATAGAAAAAGGTTGGAAGAATAAAACCTGACTTGCTAACAGGGATTAGCTCTAGGGAATGGGTTTGGGAGATGCGGGAAATTCCATATTCTATTTTAAAGATTTTATTTATTTATTTTTCCCCCAAAGCCCCAGTACATAGTTGTCTGTCATAGCTGCACATCCTTCTAGTTGCTGTATGTGGGACGCGGCCTCAGCATGGCTGGAGGAGTGGTGCCTCAGTGCGCACCGGGGATCCGAACCCGGGCCGCCGGCAGCAGAGCGCACGCACTTAACCACTAAGCCACGGGGCCGGCCCCATATTCTATTTTATACCCTTCTGTAGTGTCTGAATTTGTCACAGTGAGTAATTAATATTATTTGTGATTCAACACAAACAAAGGGGGGATTTAGACCTCCAGCTACGATGGAGTAGCTTGTAGCAAATGCTCCCAGTGAAAAGAATTTGAAAAGCCAGATAATATACAAAACACACGTAGCTCCAGACTTCTCAATCTGAGTCAAGACTCCAGAGGCCTGAACTGAAGAGAGAAGGGGAGCCCACTCAGGTGAGCCCAGCATTTTACCTGCAGTTCTTGCCTTTGGGCGCATCTGCCAGTTCTTTCCAGGAAGGAGCCAGGCAAAAAGCAGTTGTCACGAGGCAGACAACCTTATTATGTCCATCAATAATGCAGTGGATAAACTGGGGTATATTCATAAAATAAACTCTAGAGCTGGAAATGTTCTATTTCTTGATCTGTACACATATGATTTGTGCACTTTTCTGTAAGTTATCCTTCAATACAAAGGTTTTTTTTTTTAAATAATGCTTAAAAATTAAAAAAAAAATATATTCGGCTTAGGCCAGAATGCTCACTGGATATCTTCTTTGCCACTCTGACTGACTATCAAGGGAACGTTCTATAATCCCAATGGCATCCCATAACGTGCTGGCAGTCAAGATACCACAGGGAAGTCTAATGATATTAACGAATACTAAGTGCCTGCCATGGCCCAGGCACTACTGTGTCTAGTCCAGGTACTGGATACACAATGGTGAGCTACACAGACCAAGTCTCTGCCATCATGCAGCTCACGATAGTGGAGGAGACACTTATAAGTAAATAAGCAAATAAATCCTACAGGTGGTAATGTGTGATATGAAAAGAAAAAGTAAAGCAAGGTAAGGGGATAAAGAGAGAGGTTGGTGGTATAATTCCAGACAGGAAGCTGAGGGAAAGCCTCTCTGAGAAACCCCTTTCCTTCCCTACCAGAATATAAACTCCAGGAGACACACATGCACACAACACACACAAACTTCTCTGCCTTGGTGAAAAATGACTAATTGGGAATGGAAAATTATAATAACTACACGAAATTTTTAGAGCCCAGTGAAATAAATATAGTATATAAACAAAACAATATTTCACTTCTTTGCACCTACTTGTTAGTCTGGTCGACAATTATGCAACTTCCATTAGGAATTAACTCTACATCATTTTTGTCCCAATGCACCTGTAACCACAAATAAACTCAGATAGTATCTCCAAAATAATCATCAACAATCTATCATCAACAAAAACACTTTAAAGCATACTTCTTTTCCTCAAGAATTTGCAGAAATGTACATTTTTGTCATAAAAATTAGCAGGGAATGGGGGCCGGCCCGGTGGCATAGTGGTTAAGTTTGCACACTCTGCTTTGGCAGCCCGGGGTCTTCAGGTTTGGATCCTGGGCGCAGACCTACACAACGCTCATCAAGCCATGCTGTGGTGGCATCCCACATACAAAAAACAGAGGAAGACTGCCACAGATGTTAGCTCAGGGCCAATCTTCCTCACACACACAAAAAAATTAGCAAGGAATATACAAATAAAAAATGACCACCTCATCATGCAGAATGAAAAGTGAATTTAAAAAAAAGCTGAATTATCTATTTTAACTGATTCTGAAAAAATTAATTGGAAATATATGTTTCAGGATTCACTTTATACAATACAGACCTAGTGTGGTAGATTTGCAAAAATGGCCACAGATTCCTCCCATCCTGGTATTCAGGCCTCTTTGCAATGTGACTCTGCAACACCTCCCATGATGAGGGGGAGTGGGTGTGGCCACGTGAAGTACTTTGGCTAGTGGCATCTGACAGAAGCAAAGCTTGAAAAGAAGCTTGTGTGTTGGGGCTTGCCATCTCTTCCATCTCTTTGTAACCCTGAGACCACCCTGTGAAGAAGCCTCAGCCAGCCCACTGGAGGGTAAGAGACCACTAGAACAGAGACAAACTGTTCCAGCTGACACCCCCTAAATCAATGAGCCTGCCAACGACCAGGTAGGTGAGTGAGGCCATTGTAGACCATCCAGCCCAGCCAAGTCAACCCAGTCCAGAAACGCACAGAATCATATTCGTTGTTTTAAGCCACCAAGTTTAGATGTTGTTTGTTACATAGTAAAATCTAACTGATAATACCCAGCTCATGAAAAATGGGGGCAAAAAAACCTTTTGGGCTAGCTAATTCAGAAGTTTGTTTTTTTATTAAGGTAAAGGGTGACACGTTTAGGTAAGTAAAGGTATTAGGTAAAGGGTTTATCAGATTAAATCTAATCTGTAATCTGGTTTTTATTGTTACTCACATTAAAATGGATGTAAAATACTTCTCTAAAGTCATCACTTTCATCATCCAGAAGTGTCTGCAAACTCCTAAAGAACAAATAATTTTTAAAAATGAGCACTAGATACATCATCTGAAATAAATGTCAAGTGCATGACTATTCTGAACGCGGGAAGTCAGCTAGTTAACAGCGCCCACTTCTCTGTGTATTGATAGTCTAAATTGGGCCAGATCTCAACTCTAAGCGTCAATCTAGAAATTTATTTGCAATTCTGCAGGCTCCCCACCTGATTCCCACTCTCTTCCCTCCACTCTAACTTCCTTTACTCAGTGACTGTAGGTTTCTATTTAGAAAAGGATTGATAACATATTTACTGATACTGAAACATTCAAATTGGCATTACCTTTTTATTTAAGCTTTTGAGCTTTACTTACAGAACAAATAATAGATCTCCTTTTAAACATGAGGTATCACTCAGGAAATCTGAGGAGTGGGTAGGTCCAAGGACGTTCTCTGTATCTCCCATCCCAGTATCAAGCTTAAGACAGGCCTGAAATCTGACTACCTTAATTGTTTCAAGGCATCTCTGAGAACAGAGGTTGTAGCAGAATGGATAGCAGCCAGTCTTCTCACATCTCCGTTCTCCGTTGTCCTATGATACTTTACACATACTTTCAAAGTACAGTCAAGCACTGCATAACAAGGTGTCAGTCAATGACGGACTGTATTTATGACGGTGGTCTCATAAGATCAGTACCATAGAGCCTAGGTGTGTAGTGGCCTATACCACCTAGGTTTGTGTAAGTACACTCTACAATGTTTGCACAATGACGAAATCGCCCAACAATGCATTTCTCAGAACACATCCCTGTTGTTAAGGGATGCATGACTGTAGGACATCCCATATTGTATTATTTGCTCGCTCTACTCAACAAACATTTATTAAGCACCCAATGTGGCAGGCATAAGGGATGTAAAGTTGAGACTAAGACATTATGGTCAATAAACATAAGACTAGTCGGTAAGACATGCTGATGAAAGTCTCTCCTACAGTACTATGAGATATGTGCAGCCAGAAACTATGTATATGGTACAGGTATGACTTGGAAGAGCTTGGTTAACTCTGAAGGAATATGCATCATTGGGGAAGGCTTCTGGGAGAACGTGGAAATCAAGTTGACTTGTTCCCCACTGGATTTTTTATTATGATATTGTGATAAAACAGACCATGGTTTATTCATTGTGGTTTTTTTGAGGGTGAGGGAGAGTAATGGGATCTCAGCTGACAAAATTGAACTCGTCATAATACTTGGTTCATGATACTCCGTCATTATATGTCCACGGATGGCTTACTTGCTTATTTATGGGTGTGTTTATGAAGAACACCTGTAGACTTGCCTCCCAAAACAAGAACTTCAACATTACCAACACCTTACACCTACCTACAGGGGATACCTCCCTGACCTCATTTTTTTACCACCTCCTAAATGTGTTACAAATATCTACCATTTTGAAGAGTGTCTTTTCTCTTTCATTAAGGTATCTCTTGATGAACAGAGAACTTTAATCTTATTGCAGTTAAATTTATCAATCTTTCCTTTAATGTTGCTTTTTGTCTTACTTAAGAAATTCCAAAGGTGAGAATGATATTTGTCCCTATTTTCATCATTTTTGCATTTAATATTTAAGTCCTTCATCCACATGGAGTCGATTTTTGTATATGGCATAAGGTATCTGCTCTCTTTTTTTCAGTATTCCTATTAACTAAACAGTACTCCTAGTCCCATTGATGTAATATACTCCCTCTAACAAAGCTCCATAGGCGTACAGGTCAGTTTCTGAGCTCTCTCTTTGGTTCCATCGGAAAACCTGCACCATATTGTCCTAATTAATACAGCTTTCCAATAGTTCTTCATATATGATAGGCCAAGTTCCTCGTCCTTTTTCACCTTCTGAATTATTGCTGGCTATTCCTGGCCCTTTGTTCATCCAAATAAATTTTAGAATCAGCTTCTCAAGTTTTATAAAAAGCCTGCTGGGATTAAAATTGGAGTTTTATTGAATACAGAGATCAGTGCTTCTCCAAGTGTGACACAGACCAGCAACTTCTGGGACTCCCCGAGGACTTCACAGGGGTCCACAGGGTCAAAACTATTTTCATAATACTACTAAGATGTGACTTGCCTCTTTCACATTCAGTCATGGGTACAGAAAAGAGTTCTCCAGAGGCTATATGATAGCTAATACAGTGAGTGTTTGTGTATTCCTGTATTTAAAACATTTATCACTTTTAATTTTTAATATTATAAATATTGACAAATGTAACCAACATAAGTAAAAGCTCTTTGGGGTCCTCAATAATTTTTAAGAGAGTCTTAAGATCTAAAAGTTTGAGAAATGCTGATATAGATTTAATGATCTTTACATTTAGTAAGTTTACGTGCATTAAGTTTATTAAGTCTTCTTAGGCATAAGCATTATTTAGGTCATTTTCAATGTTTTCAGTAAAAAATAACAAATCTCTAACCTCCCTTCTAAATCTTGTGCTTTTGATTTTTTTTCCCTTATTAGTATAATTAGTATAATGATTAATAGTTGGACTCTGGAACCAGACTGTCTGTGTTCAAATCATGGTTCTGTCACTACGGGGCCTGGGGCGAGCTACATAACCTGTGTTTCACTTTCCTCACCTGTAAAATGGGGATGATAATAATAGGATCAGACTACTGTTCTCATTCTTTTAAAAATCTCCCTAGTATTCCATTGCACAAATATACCAAAAATATATAATTTCCTTATTGAAGAACATTCAGATAGTCTATATATTATGTACTATATAATATAAGGGACATATTAGCCTCTCATTTTAATATGCATTCTATGATTACTAACTAGTGAGACTGATCGTCTTTTTATTTATGACCCATTTCTATTGCTTCTTTGTGGGTTGCCTTCTTGTATACTTTGTCAATTTTTCTTACGGATATGTAGGAACATTTTATACAGGAGGGATATTAACCCTTTCTGTTATATATTACCAATATTTTTTTGAGAGGTGGCAGCTTGTCTTTTAACTTAGCAAGTTTTAAAGTTTTCACTTTAAAGATGATAAACTGACACATTTTTTTTTTTTTTAAAGATTTATTTATTTATTTTCCCCCCAAAGCCCCAATAGATAGTTGTATGTCATAGTTGCACAGCCTTCTAGTTGCCGTATGTGGGATGCAGCCTCAGCGTGGCTGGAGAAGCGGTGCGCCGGTGTGCGCCTGGGATCCGAACCCGGGCCGCCAGCATCAAAGAGCACGCACTTAACCGCTAAGCCACAGGGCCGGCCCAAAACTGACACATTTAAAATAAACATCACTTCAGATTTTGCACCAAGATGTAACCTGTGCTCTGTCCAGGACTGTTTCTACACAAGGTTCAAAGATTAATGTAAGCATTGAGGATTAATTACAGGAAAAATCAACTTTTCTTAATTTTAGAAAGTTAAATTATTATTCAACAATTCTTGCCAAATTTAAAAATGATTTAAAGCACCTAGAATGCTACTGTTGAACATGAAAATATTACTGGAGTGTGTGTATTTTTAAATGTTTATCTATATATATGTTAGATAGGGTTCTGAAAAAGGAACTACATTTACTAACCTTCCCAAAACAGGACTGAGTTCTTTCAAGTCTTCCAATGATGGGGTTTGGTCCAAAAGTTTCTTAAACAGAGCCATTGGGAAAGGGATGTTGGCAACATTGCAACTGAATAGGCAAAGTCCACATAGAACCCCAAAGAAGAAATAACTCTTCTTCTCAAATTTGGGCTGAAAAGAGAGGGAAAAAACCCTACTATATAATGAATTTTTACCAGTACAATGGAATATTTATATTAGGTAAACCTTTTTTTCCCTTCACAAAATCAAATCATGAATTTAAACTGAAAAGCTTGAGGTAACAATATTTAGGGTTTATTTATTTTTTTTTTTTTTAAAGATTTTATTTATTTATTTTTTCCCCCCAAAGCCCCAGTAGATAGTTGTGTGTCACAGCTGCACATCCTTCTAGTTGCTGTATGTGGGACGCGGCCTCAGCATGGCCGGAGAAGCAGCGCGCCGGTGGGAGCCCGGGATCCGAACCCGGGTCGCCAGCAGTGGAGCGCGCTCACTTAACCACCAAGCCACGGGGCCGGCCCAATATTTAGGGTTTATATTCAATCAATAAATCAATTTAAATCCCTGCCACAGTTTTGGTTACTAAAAGCATTAACAGGATGCGGGGGCAAGGGGATAGAAGAGATATTGTTTAGGGGAAAAATACTGCAATGAGTAGTAAGTAAGTCCTAGAGATCTAATGCACAGTATAATGAATACAGACACCAATATTGTATTGTAATCATCGAATTTGCTAAGAGACTAGGTCTTAATTATTCCAACCACAATGAGACGCGATAGAGGTGCGAGCTAATACTACAATGGCAATCATATTATAATATATAAATGCATCAAATCAACATGTTGTACACCTTAAATTTACACAATGTTATATGTCAGATATATTTTAATAAAAAAATAAATAAAAGCATTAACAGTAATAGAAACACATTAGGCTCAGTAATCCTTATAAACTAGTTTGTACAATTTCTTTTCATAGCCTTTGTCTTCAAATTCATCAGGAAAAATAGAACTGAAACCAAGAATGGGCGCCTGAGAAAGAAAGAGTTCATTTTTATCTAGACTGTCTATAAACGGTCAAAAACATATATTGCTTAAGTTCTCCTGTGTGGACATGGGAACCCAGGGAAAGTGGACTCCATTTTAGAGAAAATAATCACCTTTTTAGAATTAAAATTTATCTCCACAATTATATCAGTAATTCCTCTCCTAAGATAAAACAGTCTAGACAATTTAATTTTCTATGGAACATGACATACCTTTTCTGTCAGGAAATACCATAAGCAAAGAAAAGAGAACTTACGCTGACAGGAAACCACATGTAGGAAGCCTCTTCAGGATACGTGAACATCCCATATTCCGGCTGGGTCATCTCTTCAAACAGACAATGGAAAAACTCTGCCCTGACTCCTCCAGAGTCAAGTGCAATTTCTCCACTAAATGAAACCTGAGGAAACAGAGCAAATAACATACCACTTTCAGGATTCTCTACTGCTATGTATTAAATCTCATTTAATGATAGTAAGAGCTCACATTATTTGTGGACCCAAGTAGGCATTGTGGTAAGCATCGTACTCATCTTATCATATTTAATCTTCCCATTAATTCCATGAGGGTGAAGAGGCTTCAAGAATTTAAACAACTTGCCCAAAGTTACACAACTGCTAAGAGGTACAGCCTACATTTAATCCCATGTCTGTCAAACCTCAGAGCCTGAAGTCTTTACCACTAAATTGACCTCAATTGGCATCACTATTATAGTCATAAGGTAAAATAAGTATAATGAAAAGAAACATTAAAAAATCATAAACATTAAGATTTTCAAAAAACTGAAAAACCAGAGCACACATAAAATATTTGTTGGCTTGGTTGTTGACTCCTTGAGGAGGCAGTATCCCGCCTGCTGACACTCATCCCTCCAAGACGATTCTATCAGAACCCATCTGCTCCTTCAATTACTTGCTCCGTTCCTGCCTTTTCTTCTTGGAAGCCTTCACTGCAGCTTACAAACGTGTTATGGTCTCCCTTATTCTTAAAAGAAAAAAAAAATCTCAACACCATTGTCTCCAATACAGACAATACTGGCTCCCCCTACTCCAGGTTACCAAATTGCGGAGAAGAACGTAACCAACTTCCAAACCCATTTCTCTACTTAAATGGTTCTCTCCAACAGGACCAAGAAGCTGTGAATCCCCACTTCCAAGGACTTTTTCTCGTGTCTCATCTCCTTGATTTCACTAACTCATTTTACACTCAGACTACCTCCTTTTCTTCACACTCTTTTCTCCCTTGCTTTCTCTTATGAAGCACTATTTAGATTTTTATTTCTCTCTTCTTTTTCCTGCTGCCTTAATACCAGAAATTCCCACAGTTCTACGCCGGCACGTCTGTCCTTTCTCTCTGCTCTTTCCCCGGATGCTCGTTTTCTTTTTAAACTTTGTTTATCACTTGCAGGCATTTAACCTTCATATCCATTTCATTTTCTCTCCTGATTGACACACACTCATTTTCAAAGGCATGCTCAACATTTTCATCTGGATGGATCACCAACTCCCCCAGAAAGCTCCATTTACTTGCTTCTTTATTTATACGAACGCCTCTTCCATTCAGTTCACGTTCAGTGAATTAGTGAAAATGTTTATAATAAGACCAGTGTCAAACCCTTACTCTGCCCCATCCTATGGGCAAGCTCCTCGAGCTCACAAAGCCTTTTTCCCACAAGACTGTCAGAAAGATTAAATGGGATAACAGCTGCAAAATGCCTCACACAGTCTGGACAATGGTAACTGCTCATCAAATGTTACCTACATTTTAAAAATACATGAATAAATATAAAAGTGGAACTAACATAACTGATTGGACTGGCTGGCTGACACAGGTTAGAAACACATGAGTTCATTAGATTTTTAAAAAAATTATCTTTGTGCAAAAATATGCGGAAATGCCAACTCTAACTGCAAACCCCAGTGCAACATACTTTTAAAATAGAATGTTGAGCTTCAGTCAAGTCAATTATTCTTTAATCTGAGCAGGTTAAGTAATAAACTAGGGTCACCTATCAAAAGCGCTCTAATAAATATTATCAGGCAAATCTTTATTTGTCTTGATTAGGTGGAAAGTCTAGAGCCTGATGGTTGGGCCAAGTCCTGACTCTGGTACTTATTAGTTGTGCTACCCTTGGATAAGTTACCTAATAGTTCTGTACCTCAGTTTTCTCATCTGTAAAATGAGGGAAAAACATAATTTCCACACAGCACTGTTGACAGGGTTATATAAGTAAGTGTAAAGCATTTACATCAAGGAAAACATTCGCTAGATCTACTAGTCATTATTATTATTCTGTTATTCTGTGTCAAACAGCCACTGGTAAGACGAGTAAAAAGTAACTAAACCAAAGATCATTTATAAATGTTCAAGATAGGGTGATATCTACAATTATACCCTCAAAAAACTATGTAGTCAATAAAGAGAAAGTTCTCTCTTCCACAAAGCAATCTAGGTTCCTGCATGAGAGCAGAAACAAATTTCAATTCTCCTCTGTGTCAACCCCATCTCACTGGAACCCGTAAAGGTGGTGACTAGTGAGGCTTGGTCAGACTGCAGGAGGGACTGGACGTCTTGGAGCTAGTCCTGGACTTTCTACCTGACCGGGCTGGGGGAAGACAACCGTTCCGCCTGCTGCTGCTTAGCCAACCGTCCTGACCGAGCACTGCAGCTAACGTCTGGAACTCACAGGTAACTGGGAATTAGGGGAACTTCAAAACAGACAACTTCAGAGGCAAAGAGAGCCAATCTCCCCTCCATAAGACCTGCTGTTACATTCTTCTGTTTTCCTTCTCTGCAGCAAAAATATTAAGTGAGAATTATACTTCACCATTAACTCCCTCCTCAGATCTTCATTCTCAAATTGATTTAGCTGATCCAAAACGTCCTCAATCAGGTGACTCCTTCTGACTGTTAGATTAAAGGTGGGCACCAAAGCTAATGGGGACTCTCCTTGTTCCACAACTCCAACCCACGTCATAATGGCTCTATGTTTTTTCTCCTAGGAAAACAGACACGTTTCACTTCATTTCACCATTTGCTCTAAGTAGAAATTCATGAAGTGGAATAAACCGGTTCATTTTATTTTAAGTGCATGTCACAAACATTTACGAAAAGAGCCTTATATATACACCACTAGAGATAAGCTATACATTCATTATTCACCCCCAGTGAGCAGAAGAAAATGGGACCTAGGGAATGGGAAGCTTTGTGGAGCCACCTTGGGTGAGCAGGAAAAACTGCAGGATGCACTGGACCACTTTATCCTGTAAACACAATTATTAATAATTCAGTAACCAAAGCTAATTATCATCAATAGGCTAAGAGAGCCATTAGTCAACAGCGAAGCAGTGCACTGAAACAAAACATTCTCATTTGGAGAAGTTCAGAAGTTTACAAGGAAATAGCTGCAGGAAAAATTCAGGTATTAGAGACCTCTCTAAAGATTCCCTATTCTAGGAGAAAACCCAGACCACAGATTTTAGGGGACAGATAATCTAAGAAGTTAATATGAGAGAGAGACACACAGACACACAGATTGTCCATCTGAAACCAAATGGCAATGGTATTATTAAAGTCCGTGGCACTTAGCAAAACAAAAAGCAATCCAATACCAATTCTATAAAATTATTACTGGAAGGCTGTTTAATCAGGAGAGAACAGTTAGAAGAGTTGAAGCAAAATAAAGTTCTTATGTCTTTTCTCCTTTCATTTTCCTTTGTTAAATATTTCATCAAAGATTTCATAAATCAATTTCCTATTTTATTTTATTACGGTAACTGGATTATGTGAAAGTATCTACTTTTATGACATATATTTGAATATTATTCATACATATACATATACAGATGCACATCAAGAATAGAAATGATAAGAGCTAAAGCTTTTGGGCACGCACTTCTTGCGAGGCACTGTTCTAAATGCTTTACCTATATTAACAAATTTGATCCATATAAAAACGCAATGAGGTACATTTCCCAGGGCATTTTCAATTGTCCAATTTTAAGTTCAAAACCACTTGCTTGCCGGATATGCTGACAAACAGAACCAACTCAGCCGGTGACAGGACATTGAAGAGGGGATACTTTTTACACACGTTTATCATGGCACCATCGCAGAGTACTAGTCATTTATTTGGTCCAAATTTCAAGAATCCTCTCTCACCTCTATTCCCACTGCTCTGTTTTTTAATTAGATTGGACCTCCTTATATATTGGGGCCAATCCAATGAGGCCCAAGTCTGCTTGCCTCCTGAGTACCACGCAAAGGACCACAGGCACCAACCTCCAGGGAAAAACCCTACAGCAAGGCCAGCTGCCCAAGCTCTAGCCTTTGCTACCGAGGCCCTCATGTGCCTCAAGGCCACGCCACCCCAAAGTACCACAGTCTTTCTTGCCTTCGTCATTAGCGTATAAGCTCCTTGAATGCTGCGGCCGTTGGTTTACCCAGTGGGTTGCTCCCTTATCACCCCCAAAGTATTGCATGCTTAAGAAGGCATTTATCATTTGATTTGTTAATGAAGACAAAGAAAAAGATACGTACCTGTATTTTTAAAAGCGAGTCTTCGTATAGTAGTTTAATTTTTGACAGAATATTAAAGATAAATGGAAAATGACTGAAAATGACAGGAGAGTCTCTTGAAGTATCCTAAAAATGGAAATGACAATGATTCTGATAAATGAAAAGACAGAGAAATCTTACTCCTTTCCTCATAGCCTTAAATCCCTGATGGTTTAAGGTCTCAGCACTTATAGCCAAAGCAATCCAAGTTGCTGGTCAGTTGTACTCAGACGTATAAAATTCTAAGAAAATGTTTTATATGTCATCAATGAAAGGTATATATAAACCTAGTATTTTCGGTGCTCATTTAATTTAGCAGTTAATTATAAACTCTGGACACCTTCCCAAAGAGTCTGTTCTGCTGCAACCTGCACTTCTGAAATGTGAATTAGTTCAGACGCATTTGATAAAACAGGGGAATGATACAATGAGGATAGCCGGTTAGCTCACAAATGATTTTTGCCAGACAAGGATTGATGCACTGGGGGCAGAATTATAACCTTCAGAGTAAAAGAAAAAAATGTCAGGTATGTGCTGCTGAACTGGCAGCAAAAGCCCTTTAGCTTTATTTTAAGAAAATAAAGAGGAGCACTCACACTCTGGGCCCCCTCCCCAAAGTTGCCGCCCTACACTGCTGGCTCTGGTGAGTCACGCTGCCCTCCACGCCCACCTGGAGGGCAGAGCTCCACTTCCAGCTGCATTATGTCAGGACCACCAGTGCTCTAATTAGAGTGTGCAGAGACTTCCACCCTTTGGTTTCTGGGCACTCTCCACGAGCTGCTGGCCTGGTTGATCCCAGCTACCTCCTCAGGGAGCAACCACTTTTCTGTTAGTGCTCTGGCT